ACCCCTTTTTATTTATTTACTTTGTAGTATTTCCTTAGTACCTGCATAAGTTGCCCACAAGTGACCTGTTCCAGAGACCAGAAAGACAAAACAATAATCCCTTTTTAGATGTTTATAGTACTGATAGCTGACAATTTAAAGGATGTTGTGCCAAGAGTATGAATACATAAATACAATATATATAATATGTATATATATACATATATATATATATGTATATATATATTCTCATCTCATATACCCAATAAAGCAGCAGGAAAAGCAGCCCAGAAATCACATCAGCAAGTTCCCTTCCCACTTAGAGACTTCCATTCAAGTAAAGCCAGATCTTTGACTCTATAGGAAAGAACTTCTGGATAAGCCAGAAGAGGGCAATATTAGTGAGTTTAAGTATTTAGACAGGAAGATGGACTGGGAAAGGAACGTACAATACAAAGACATGAGTGTGGGTTTCTCAAGGTAAGAGTCACACTTAGGTGTCTTTGCAACATCTATTGATATGGTTTTGTGATTTCTAAATTACATTATTCAAAGAATGTCATTTATAAAAGGGGTAAAAGATTAAGTAATGTTTTTAAACCAAGCAATTTTTTAAAAAAGTATTTTATGTGTGTGGATGTTTGGCCTGTTTGGTCTGTGTACCACATGTGTGCCTGGTACCCACAGAGACCAGAAAGGGGCATTAGAAGATCCCTTGGGAACTGGAGTTACAGACAGATGTGAGCCACCATGGTGGTGCTGGGACTCGAACCCAGGTCCTCTAAATCATCTCTCCAGCTCCCAACATTACAGTAAAACTATGTGTAAATGAAAAGATGTTTTGTGGAGTGTGTTGTTTAGATTTAGAGATGAAAAGGGAAGGCCACAAACACCGGCCCCCAATAAGCAGAATTTGTTCTTTTAAACATCCTTGACAATAGGAGATGCAAACTAGCTCCCGGGGTAATCAGCTCCTTTCCCTTCCTATGATGCTTTCATCTTTCTCCTCTTTCTAGCCTGCTTCATCCCACTACACAGATGAGACCACTGAGGCTTGGCAACTTTACCTCTACTATTGCTTGGAAAGATGTCTGACTAAAACTACACTGATCAAACTCTCACCTTCTGTATCCTGGTGATCACTCTCCCTCGAATGGTTCAAGGCAGAGGAAGGGGTTAGTGGAGGGTTGAAGTGACAGTGAAGCAGACATGGCTCTGACACATCCTCACACAAATTCTCCCTTCGGGCAATCAACACTGTAACTGACAAACCACCTTATTGCCTGTTGGAGCATTAAACACAGGAATGTCTGCAAGGATGTTGGTGAAGAGCTGGGTGGTGGTGGCGCACGCCTTTAATGCCAGCACTCAGGAGGCAGAGGCAGAGGCAGGCAGATCTCTGTGAGTTCGAGGCCAGGACAGCCAGAGAAGTTACACAGAGAAACCCTGTCTCAAAAAAATAAATAAATAAATAAACAAAAACAAACAAACAAACAAAAAATGTTGGAGAGACTTAGCCTGGAATGATGCAAGTGTTCAGCAAAATGCAGGTGAATAGTGACTCCTTTGGCTCAGGTCCAGGTCTTGTTGACTTCTTGGTCTCCACAAGAGAAAATGAAATTTCTTGAGGCACTATAGACTCAGAAAGTTTAAGTATATATTTAATTGGCAGCCTAAAATGATTTAGCACAAGTTAAATATAGCAAGGGCACTTGTGTACCGAGAGCTGGTGGAGAACCAAGCCAATTTTTGCAGGTGGCAAGCCCAGTTACTCATGCAAAATGCAAATAGAGTCACCCTTGGTAGTCCTGAGAAAGCAAAGGGACTTTTGGTTTCTACTTTTTATTTCTGTAAATAAAATACTCTCTGTCTTAGCTGGGTTTTCATGACCATAAACAACTCATGGAGGAAGGGTTATTTCAGCTTACAACTCTCAAGTTATGCTCAAGGAAGTTAGGGTAGGAAGTCAAACAGGGCAGGCACCTGGAGGCAGGAGCTGATGCAGAGGAATTACTGGCTTGCTCCTTTCGCAAGCTTACTCATCTTGCTTTCTTAAAGTACCCAGGACCACCAGCCCAGGGGTGGCACGCCCCACAGTGAGTTGGGCCTTCCCCCATGAATCACTAATTTTTAAAATGTCCTACAGACTTGTCTACAGGCAAATCTAGTTGGGGTGTTTTCTCAATTGTGGTTTTTCAATTGAGAGCTCCTCTTCCGAAATGACTCAAGCCTGTGTCAAGTTGACACTTGTCTTTGTTCTCAGTCAGCAGGGTTTCTCTAAATTTGCTTTCACCACAGGCTGTTTGCTGGTCTCTAACTCCCTCCCTTAAAGTGGAAGCTTCCTTAAGAATAAGCCCCATATCTTTTGCCTCTATAGCCCCTGCACTGAACACTGGCCGTGTTGCCCAGTAACAGACTCATAAGCAGTGTTCAAAATTAATATAGCTCTTTGTCACTAACATGGATTCTTATCTACGCTCAACTTTTCCTGCACAACATGATGGGATTGGAATGGGGTTTATTGAGCTCCAGTGCTGTCACTTCAGATGGAGCACCTTTCTGGAATTACCCAGTTTGACAAATTCAAGATCCCAGTATGGGTCCTACGTAGGCCCACTTTCAACTTCTTGTCCTCCTCCAAACTCTGCCATTCTCATTTTTCTCTCTAACTTTATCATTTGGTTAGAAAAATAAAATAAAATAATCACCCCACCCCCCAAAATCACTAAGGGCAATAAACACCTGTCATGGAGCACTGAAAACAAGCCCCCTCCTAGCTGTCAAGATCCTCCCAGGAGAGAAATGTAAGGCAGTGACAGTAGTAATTATGCATTATGTATTAACAGGGCTCAATAAGAACCAAGTCCAGAGACCCAGTTACTCCCCCAGGGGTTGGGCTTAGGAAAGTTCTGGAGGTGACACTTGAGCTAGGATGATTGGTAGATAAGGACTTGACTTTTGACAGACAAGAATGCCCACATTCTGAGAAGAAAGGGAAAGGAATTCCCTGTTCTAGGCACAGCCAAGCTGGGCAAGTTAAAAGTGGCTGTCCTCACCCATGTGCATGGAGCAGAGCAAGCAGGAGTGCCTGGATGGCAGAGACAAGTGGGGCCCAAGAGAAGAGATGAGGGGGCAGGATAGAACACATCATTCAAACTCGAAGTCCCCACTCAGCTCTGAGTGTCCCTCTGGACCCAATAATAAGCACATGTGTAGGCCACCAAAAATAAAATCAAAATGAGGCTATATGGAAAGAAATGAGAATGATTTTAACATACCTTTGACTTTTGTGCACTATTAGAAAATACTTTTATTTCGGGCCTCAGGATTGTGAGAATTATGGAACCATGTGGAAACAAGCTGTGTAACGTTTCCAGTGCTTAGGATCTCTAAAATCTTCCCTGGGTGTCACGGATCGAGCATGAAATGATCCCACCATGGGCTTAGGTTTGAACCACTTGATTCTGTAACTGGTGGTGCTGCCTGGGGAGGACTCGGAAACTTGAGAAGCTAGAATTTACGGGGGGGAAGTAGGGTACTGGGGGTGGGGTTTAGGTGGTGTGTGTGTGTATGTGTCTGTCTGTCTGTCTCTCTCTCTCTCCCCTCATCTGAAAATCTGTGACAAATCCCAGTCGTACATCTCCATCATGATCACAATACCCTCAAACAGTGAACCAGAGTAAATCCTTCTTCCTTCCAGTTGCGTTAGCCAGGTATTTTATCACAGTGACGAGAAGTCAGTGGTGTGCCAGGCTTTAGACCTGCTGCAGAAATTGTATACCCCAGATCTGCCTTTGGGCTAGGCAGAGTGGGGGTTAAAGCAGCTTGCAAAAATGCTTTCTGCGTGGCCCATCCCTCTACCTTTTAACCCCCTTGGGAGAGCTAGCAGTGTTTATCCAAAGGGCCTCCAACTTGTGGCATTTAAGAGTGTGACAAGTGAAATGAAGAGACAATTCCTGCAACCCCAGAATTAGGAACCAGAGTCCTTGTGAAACATCAGGTTTCTCTCCCTCCCACTGTCTCCCCCAACCCCTCTCTCTGTGCTCTTAGGAATTGAACTTAGGGCCTCATGCCCTCTACCATTAAGCTATAGTCCCAGCCCAAGTACTTGACTCACTAAAGTGAAATTAGCCATCTTCCCAGGGACCTACCAAAGGACAACAAACTGACCCTGATACCCCTCAATCCCAATTGTGCCACCTGCTTCCACCTCATCTCATGATAAGTATTTTATGAGACTCGGTGTTCATAACCAAACATTAAGTTCGCCCCTCCCCCACACCAGGGGAAAAAGAGGGTATATCGCCTGGCACTCAAACCAAGGGTAGTCTGAGGTCCACAATCGCTCATCTATATTGGTAGGCATGTCCACAAGGAGGAGGAAATGAAAGCTCCCACGGCAGTGACGCAGCCAGGGAGGCAGCCTGGGAGGGTTTAACATGGTATTGCTGGCTAGCGCTCCCCAAAACGAAGGCTCCAAGCAGCAGAGAGAATCACATCAAGGCAGAGGAAAGCTACAGTGGCAGTACTGTCTCATCATCACACCCCACTAGCTCTCCCACTGCCTCTCCTTGTCCTCAGTCACAAGAACGGTTGTCCTCGAGCAGGGAGGGCCGAAGTGGAAAAGCGGATGATGTCCTTCCTACCGACACCCAGCTCTTGGATTGTAATTCCCTGAGGACACATTCCTTATCCCAGCATGGTCCTGGCCCAGAGCTGGCCTCTAATACTTTGTTGAAGATGACAGCCCCTCAGGCACCCCAGCTTCCCAGCTTTAGGTGTCCGGTTTGTGGGACAGAGGAGGGTGCTCTTGGCATAGATCCTGGCTTGGGTAACATGGCATTACCCAGGACACACGTGGTGTGGGTTTCCCAGCAATGCTAGTTTCCGGGCGGGGTTTTGGCTTCCATGGTGTGCGGATCCACCCCTGACTTTGCATTCTAGCTCAGTGGGTGGAAAGGTTTAAATTCTAGCAGCTCTCAACCCCCGCTGCATGTTGGCTAAAATCCTGCACCAGCGGCATGAAGCTGGGAGCCTTCCTTCTCATGGTGTCCCTCATCGCCTTCAGCCTGGAGGTGCAGGAGCTTCAGGCCGCAGTGAGACCACTGCAACTTTTAGGTAAGTCCAGGCAAAGGTAGCGTTGTTCTGCCTCGAGTGAAGGTGTCAGAGGTAGGACATCCAGAACCAGTGCGCATGGGCACAGGAAGTGGACACCCCCCCACACCCCAGAAAATTGTCTTTTTTAGAATCTTCCTTGATGGTCACTTCTTAGAACAGAATTCCTCTTCCGCCTCTTTCTTCTCTCTCTCTGCATTTGCTGGGTCACCTACCTGGACCCTCCCCGCTCCTCCGCCCCTCCGCCCCTCTGCTCCTCCACTCAGCAGCCATTCCCCACCTCTCCGCATCTCCCTCTCCACCAGCTTCTTCCTGCCTACAGAAAATACCTCTCTAATTATGTTAAACTTAGGTCAGTCTCAATCTCCTCTACCAATAATATTCTCAAAAAGGGGTTTGTTGATATGGGGTTTTTGTTGTTGTTTGTTTGTTTGAGACAGTCTCAGATTATAGACCAAGCTGGCCACGAACTTACTGTGTAGCCCAGGCTGACCTCAAACTTAATGGCAATCTTCCTGCCTCATCCTGATGCTGGATACAACAAGCAGGATCTACCTGACCTCCTGTAGCCTCCAAGGAGTATTCTTAATTCTCTGTTCACTTTCCCCTTAACCCTTTGGTGACCACGGCCTCAAGTCCTGCCCCATTAAACTCTGGATACATTCATCTCGGGTCCTCCGGATGAGTCTCCTGACCCTTCTCAGAAGTAAAGTTCCTCTGGATGAGTCTCCTGACCCTTCTCAGAAGTAAAGTCTCACCTTTGTAGCCCTGATGCTTTCCCCCCAAACCCCACCCCCTCACCGCTGGTCCTGCAGCCTTCTCTTTCCTGGTTTAACTTTTACTGAGCTGCATTGTTCAGAAATGTCTTTAGATCCAGCTTAGGCCTCTCTTCTTTACTCTCTTCCCCACTCCATCAACTTCCTGTTTGTGAAACACTGCATCTCTTCCGGCCTTTGCCCTCTGCTGCCTGTGTCCAGCCCTGATTACTCCAAGGCTCTGCTATTGCCATAGTCCCCCCCACCCCACCCCCAGCTCATCCTAGCCCTCTCTTCCTTCTTCAGTGTGTTGACTAGTTAAATCCTGGTTCTGTCTATGCTTTCAAGCAGATAATCTTCCCAAGTGACAGCAGTCTCCACATTCTCTCCCCTGTCAAGTGGAATCCCAAATCCACAGGTCCTGATTACCCGCTTGCCCTTGACAGTGTTTGCTTCTCCTGCCTTACTTCCAGCCACTCCCAAACTTGCTCTGCCCTCCCCTTGCCACTGCCCCTGGCTCCCCCCCCCCCCCCCCACCCCCCCCCCCCCCCCTCTGCAGCTCCTGTGTCCTAGGCAGCACACTGGCCTCTCAGAAGCCCTGCCCTATTACAGTTTCCCCTTGTGAATCCTTGCATCTTACATCCGCTCCCCCACACATACACGCTCTCTTTGAGAATATTCCTGCACTTTAAGGCTTACTTTTACTGATGAACAAGAAATAGTGCCTTATCTCCTCTGAGCCCTGGAGTCCTCTGGATCCACCTTGTAGGACACCTGTGAAACACTGCTTTGTTTTCGGAACCTTAAATATAAGTTAAGTCTTACCTACACTGGAAGGCTCCAAGGGGCCTGCCTGTCTTATGCCTCTGTGCTTTCTGAATGCTTCATATATAGCAAAAGCTCAACCCAAATACTTAAAGATTGACCAAACTATGTGAATAGGGTCAAGGGGTCATCAACTTTCTCATCTCAGAGGAGCAGCAGCACCAGAAATACTTGGGGATCGTGCTATGAAGCCAAGCGAAGGAGACTAACCTCATAGAATGACCGCAAGGCAAGCAGCAAGTCAGAGTGTCCGCTGCTCTGCTCCATGTCCTGTGGTGTGGGGAAGTGATTTCATTTAATCAACCTTCTTCCTTCCTTTTCACAAATACACCCCTGCTATCCACATCTCTAAAGTGGGCTCGCTTAAATGAGATTATGTGTGTGTGCCTAGTTTTTAGCAGAAATAAATGCCAACAGCTTACAAATTATACTCTGCCTTGAGCTAAAAGAAACCAGTAAAACTTACTCCTTAACCGAGGACTGTCATCTCCAGAACTTGAACCTAAAGCACAGTGGTTTTCACCGTCTGTTTGTCTGTTTGTGAGAGGGTAAATTCATTGAGTAGCCCAGGTTGGCCTTTAGCTGATCATCTGCCTGCCTCGGCTGGAATTACAGGTTTATCCCACCTTCCTGGCTTTCAAATGGTCTTTTCTGATTTAGGCACCTGCGCTGAGCTCTGCAGAGGTGACTGGGACTGTGGCGAAGGGGAGCAATGTGTCAGCACTGGGTGCAGTAACATCTGTACTACAAGTTAGGAACAGGTAAGACCATCTGGCCCTTACTGTTACCCCACATCCTGCCCAGACCAGACAGGTTATACATTTGACACCCGTGGGACTTTCCAGAAGTTGGCAGGCTAGAATCCTATGTGTCTCCCTATAGTGTCTCCATATTTTCTCCATGAAGAAGATACACCTACCACAAGATGGTGCTTTCCAAACCTTTAGAATCATTTCGCAACCCAGTCTACTCAGAAAAAAAATCAGACAATATTTGAGCAAGAAGATAAAATCACTCATTATATATCACCCCAAAATGATGTCTGGTTATGACTGTGATACATATTTAACTATGTGCAAATATGAAAAATATCATTTAAAAACAAGAATCTTATGGCTTTGGGGTTTTTTGTTTGTTTGTTTGTTTAAGACAGGAGTTCTCTATATAGCTCTGGCTGTCCTGGAACTACCTCTGTAGACCAGGCTGGTCTCGAACTCACAGAGATCTAACTACCTCTGCCTCCCAAGTACTGGGATTAAAGGCATGCGCCACCACCATCTTTTTGATTCCTTAGCTAGTTAATTTAAAAATAGTTAATCAACAATTTTAGTATCAGTAGTTATCCTCAGTCCCACACCACCATCTTTGCCTCCTCTGTAGTCCTTTGTAAATGCTCTTCTACAAGCAACGTCTGTAAATGTACATTTAAGATATTTATTTTATAATACTAACATGACAGTAATGACTATTAAAATATGCACACCCCTATTAATTCCTTTGGGATACAACCTGACATATAATCAATGACCAAAAAGTATTCTCATATTAAGTCTTTGATGCACATCGCCATATTGACCTAAGCAGATACTTCTTCTGTAAAATATTTGATGGGATTCATATCATTGTATAAGTTTCCCTTTTTAATTGTCAGTACCCATTAATTGAAAAAAGGATAATAAAAAGCTACCATAATTAAGTTGTATTAATACGGCTAAATGGTATTAGATTTAGCATGTGCTCTAAACAACAAACTGTTCAGGCCAACAGACTGATCAATGGGTAGAGGCCCCTGCTGCCAAGACTAGCGATCTGAGTTTGGTCCCTAGAATCCACATAGCAGAAGGAGAGACTGACTCTCAAAGTCTGTCCTCTGTCCTCTTACATGTATGCCAGGGCATGCACATAACTGCACATACACAAACATAAACATTCACACAAATAATACTAATAAATTAAATGAAAACAAACCTAAATTGCTCATGTTCAAAACATTATATTTGTCCTGTGCATCAGTAGTGCTTGCTGGCTTCTTTACAGTGCTATGGATGTCCAGAATCAAGAACTGCTATTTCTCATTGCGTTCTGGGTAGCCAGGTACCCCCAAACAGCAGGTCTCAAGTATAATTTTTATATTTATTTCTCCAACAATGAATTGTCTCAAGGGGCATCTTCTTTAATAATCATTCCTTTTTTTTTAATAGCTTCTACCTGGAAAAAATATGCCTATTTGGAGCTCCATGCCCAAGAAAGCAGTTGAAAATGGAGGCCATGGATGGAGATTACAAGGAGCACAGTGGGGAGGAACAAAGAGGTGTTTCTTTTAATAAATCATCATTGTAAAAGTATTCATGACACATGAATTATTTGATTGGTTGCTGTTTTGGTTTGAATATGACACGTCTCCCACAGACTCATGTTGAGGGCAACTAGTCCATAGCTGATGGCACTGTTTAGAGAGCAGGGGCATTACTAAAGGAGGTAATTTACTGGGGTATTCTGTCCTGGGCCCACCTAGTTTCTTGCCACTTCCTGGTTGCTTTAGGTGAGCAGCCTCAACCAAACACACCTGTTGTCATGATAATTCTCCTTAACTGCAGAGCAAAGCAGGAGAGCCAGGCAAGCACAGCCTTAAACCCCAGAAATACTGAGCCAAAAATAAGCCCTCCTTCCTTTAAACTGTTCCTCTCAGGTATTTAATCCTACCAGTGGAAAAGCTACTAATGCCCAAATGTTGAGATCTGATAGCATATAACATGGGTCCACCAAGAAAATGAACATAGCTATTCTGTGGTCATCACCAACTGAAGGAAAAAATTACACACAGAGTTCCCAGGGAAGCCTTTGAAGACTTCTTGCATTGACTTGAGTTACATGGTAGCAGCCCCTACACACCAAACTCCTTCCCTGAGACTGTGGACACTCACAGCTTAGCAACAGTGCACTCTATAATACCAAGGTCATTCGGTCTTGAATAACACTTTATGTGGACCATCCATGTTGCTAAACCCAGTCTCTTCATACCTCTATTGTGGTAAGAATGAGGCCCTACATCCTTCTCAGCTCAGTGCAGTATTTGAACGTGTCTTAAGCACTGCTTTAGACACTCTTGGTGTCCAGCAAAGAGAACCTTTACTATAACAACCAATTTATCTCGCTGGGTGGGGGTATTTCTGCACCTGGGGATAAGGATTCTGAAAGGCTTAAGAGTGGAAGGATCTCACCTAGCATTTCTGTCACTGCCATCAACAAGCGTGCTCTACAACTCCAGCCAGAATCTTGAAACTCTAGTAATGTCAGCCCTGCCCAGGGACAAACTTTCTGAGAGGATAAGGAGGTGTGGCGTGGATGGCGACGTTTCCAAGCCAAATTCTGCCACCTTTTACAAGATAACAGGATGAAGGAGTGATAATCTAATCACAACACAATTTACAACCTGCAGTACAACGAAGACTTCCCGGAACTAGAGCACACAGCGAGGCCCTGCCCCAAGCGGTGGCCCGGAAGTATTTCCCAGCTATTTCACGTAGGAAAAATGGCGGCGGTGCAGGTCGCCTCCTCGCTTCCTTGTGGGCAGCCGCGAGCGGCCCCGCGGGAGCAGTCGTCCGAGGATGATGGGTTCCGCCGCTTATCTGCCAGGCTCCGCGCGCTGCAGCCGGATGACAGCACCGTGTCCCGAATGGAGATCCACCTGCTTTTCGACCAGCTCATCTCCGAGAACTACAGCGAGGGCGGCGGCGTGGCCCCCGAGGTAGGCGGCGCGCCTCACCCCTCCCAGGACGACGTCTGGTTCCTCCCTCCCGCCCCTCCGGCTGTCACCGGTTCACGGGCTGGCTTTCTCTCTCCGTCTCTGCCCTCCATCTGAAAGTTTGCACGCTAGCATCTTTCAAAGCTGAGTTGTAACGCGCTCAGCTGCCATCCCTGGTGAACGACTCCAGGAAGGTCGAGGATAATGTTTAGTTGGTTTGGTTGATGAAGCTCACAAAGAGCCAGCGGCACGGTTTGGGCAAATGGCAAAGCTAGAATTGGAGCCTGATTGCCTTAGTGCCTGTGTTTTCTGTTTTGTTCCCGTACTAGCTCCTCCTCGTTTGCCTCACTTCTACCGTCAGAGTAATCTTACTCATACACATCAGATCTTGTTTATAACTAATTCCCTGAATCCTTAAGCCAGTCCTCCCGTGGCCCACAAGCATCTCCAACTTGATAGCTCTCAAAGGTGAATACTTTGTCTCCTACACTCCCATCCTCAATTCATTCTGCCCAACCCCACCCCTAATACACACAAGGCGCACGCACACTCTGCTTCCTTCCTTTGTCCTGCAGCCTGTCGGATTAAAATTCATCAGAATCTGCCTCAAACATGTTTCCCAGGTCACTTTCTCTTCTTTATTCCCATTGTGCTTTAGGCAAAATAATTCTTGCCTAGACGATTCCCCTGGTCTGTCACTGCTCTTTCTCCAGTCTAGCCCTTTTCCAGACTGTTCTTTGCCTGAATCTACTATTTGGTTAAAAAAAAATAAAAATAAAAAAACTAGAACAAACAAAAAACCCAAAAAGTGTAAACCTCATCAGAGATTTTCAATGTATATTGGCAAATGGCAGAAGCAAGATGCTTAATAAAACAATCTGTACAGGGATAAGAATTTTAATAAATAAGTGTACATTTACATACTAAAGAAAAAATTCAAAAGAGCTCACCATGGATAAGGGGACAGAGTGGAATTAAGAGTGAAGCTAAGGGAACTTTTATTTATATACTTTGATATTTTATGCAGCAACAACAACAACAAAAATAATGTGTGCCTTTCCGCTTTTCTCTCCTATTTCTCCTCTTGGACCCTGGTGCAGTCATTTGGAGCTTGCTGCTGTTCAAGCACCTGAGGGCTTTTCACATCTCCAAGACTCAGAGCCTTTTTATTTAGCAAACATCAGTAGATGGTGTCATTTGTGGATAGCATCTTTTTTTTTCTTTGTAATTTTTCTAATTTTATATAAGAATCATAGAAGTGTTGTTTCTGATTTGCCCATTAGCATTGAATGTCTGGCTCACTCAGCATTTTTAGCTGTAGCTTGTGTGCTTGTCTGTGCTGGAAGCCCTTCTTTTGTTGTTTAATTGTACTGTATAGTAAAAGTTCTTTTGCTTTTTAGTACTTCCTAATTTTTGTTATTTCATTCCCCCAACCCTTATTTTCTTCCTCAACTTTCTCTTGGATTCTTTCCCTCACTGAGTGTGGAACATCCAGTGTACTTGTCCCATTTGACTGCGTTTTGGGGTGTTCGCTTGGCTAACCGGTGCATTTGTCTTTTTTAAATAGGATGTCGGTTCTCTTCTTGTGAGGGCATGTCAGTTGGTGCCTCTCAATCAGAATCACCTTGTCAGCAAAGTGTCTCAGCTGATCCATCATTTACTTAACAGATTACAGGTAATCATATATAGAACTTTAGGGCTCTGCTTGGGAATGCAGCTATGTATGGTAGGCTCATTGTTGTGTTTTGTTTGGAGACAGGATCTTAGTTCAGGTTGGCCCAAGAAAGGCCTTGGCCTTCTGATCTTTTTGTTCATGTTTAAAGTGTTGGGATTACAGATGTTTGTGACCATGCCCAGGTCAGTTGTCCAATCTTTTGAAAAGCTTGGGAAAGCAAAATGCCTTAAGCTGGGAATATAACTCAGTGGTGGAGCCTGGCAAGGCCTGCCACACATGAGGCCAAGGGTTCAATCCCTGCATCAGTACCACACAAAAAAAGCCATGCTTATTAA